TTTTTTTTTTTTTTTTGTTCTTTGTTCTTGTAAGACTCAGTTATGTTATGCTGCTGAGATACTGCTAAAAGAATTTTGTTGTAATAAGGTTTCTGGATGAGGAAAAAGTCAACTAGTTTTCAGTGTTCCGCTAGTCCGTTTATAGTGAAGTTCTTATCAGCAATATTGCTCGATGGTGAATTGTGCTTGTGCATGGAATATATGGATGGCGGTTCTTTGGATAGATATGGAAAATTGCCTCCTGAAGTTTTAGCACCTGTTACTGTTTCTATAATTAATGGACTTGCATTTTTGTGGGGAAATAAAGTAATGCACAGAGGTAATGTTATCTTTAAATACCAGCAGCATTTGAACTAAATTTGTTCTTAGGATTCCAAGACTTCAAATAGTTGATTTTAATTAGCGAGGAACAATAAAAGGAGTAAGATTTCTGGAATAAGTGAAGTAGAAAACGACTTAAGAGTTTTATTTTATTCTGTTTACGGTGTTTTTTTAGAAGATATAAAGTCAGAATCATTTCTTACTTAATGTAAATCTGTGACTTCAGTTTTTTGAGATGCTTTTATATTGTCACAAAGATATTTTTGGCACTATGCTTTCAGCTTCGAGTCCTCTATTGTTTCAGATGTGAAACCGAGCAACATTTTGGTAAATTCTGCTGGCGAGGTCAAGCTGGCTGATTTCGGCGTTTCAAAACAACTCGAACAGTCAATTGCAAGAAGTTTTGTTGGAACAAATGCGTACATGGCTCCTGAACGTCTATTAGGAGCTCCATATAGGTTTGAGTGCTACTGATAAGGGTTTCTTTAATATCTCATTCTTACAACACTTCAGTATTTAGAATTTGCTCTGATATATGGAGCCTCGGCTTGACACTTTGCGAATTAGCAATTGGCAGATTCCCGCTAGCCAGTTCGTCAGAGGCACTGCAGTCAGTTATGCAACGAATATCGACTGGCAATGTTGATGTTTCAGATGAACTTCGCAGTGAAGGGTGTGCCGCGGATTTTTGTGATGTAGTTCTTAATTGGTAGGTTGGAATTCAGATTAAATGCTTGAGTATTCTTTTAAATTCATTTTTTTTAGCGTCATTTTGGAAGAGGGAAAGCGTTGGCCTCCTGATAAGTTGATCGCGTGTCGTTATATTCGTCAGAATGTACCAATCAATCAACAGGCAGTCATTGATTTTGTGATACCAAAAAATTTGTTGTTGTGAGCGTGCTCTAGCAAGTTATGCAGTAGAATGATAGTGGTTTGACGTTTTTGTGTTTTTGTTGTTAACCAAGTCGTATTCTAGACCGGGTAAATATTAACAGTATTTATAATATTAACGTTATTTCTATTTGCCAAGCTTAACATTTATAACCTAGAACTAATCCTCTCGATTTTTTTCCTGTCTATTGTTGTATCTGGCTAGCTGACTTCTTCGGTTTCATAGCTGTTACTTCGGAAATGGAAAACAGCAGTAGTATTCACTTTTGATTTTTTGTTTCAAAGTAGGGGGGTCCGCGCATTGGGTTGATGGTGCCTGTTTGCTTCTTGAGATATATTTCGATCTGTACGGTTACGGTTGTGATGTCTTAATTGCTCAGAACTTTTTATGTAGTACCTATTAAAACAGTTGATTGGTAAAAGTTATTTTTATATTTTTTTGTGTTCAGGAGCGTATTCCAGAAAAGTTGGGTTCTGTTGTTTGTGCTCATCTCTATATATCCGAATTTATCTGTAATTATTGGTTTATTTCGAATTAGTTAAAATATAGTTATAAAGTTGTTTGGGTCAGGAAAGGTTACAGTTTTTAGGTTTTTGAGGGTGCTGTTCCAATTAAATAATGATGGAATTTTGTTTATTAAAGTTCTGGTGTTTGAGAAATTTTGTCAATAATTTTTCTTGAATTAACAGTACAGATGTTATTTTATGATTTATTTCTTTGTCCTCAAGTTTTGACAGTTAGTTTACACTTCTAGATTTAGATATATGGAAGGTTTTTGGTCTGAGTACTGCGTTTACAATACAGAAGTTTTCTAAAATCTGTTTTAAACATGCAGTTAAGGGTTAAGGGGACACGGTAAGTGACATTTTTTGGCGAAGAGTTACTTGAATAGTTGATGACGAAGAAGTGTATGCTTTGGTCCTGTTGATTTGGGGCCATTTTGTAGGGCCGGCTTTGTTGGTCGCAGCCCTTCTGTTTTGTTTGGTTTCGGACTATTTCTATCGTTTGAGGACAGAGAAGGAGGTTGAAGAATCGTTCCAATTTTTTTGAAGCTGTGGAATTTGCTTCAATTCTTGGCAGTGGGATGGAGCTTTGAGTTCTGGGGAGTGGGCGGTATTAACGAGATTCAGAAAGATAGGGATCGTGAGCAGTATAGTTTTTTCAGTATTTGCACATGTTACAATTCCCTTCGAGTACCTTTAAGTCAATTTTTTTCTGAAATGCATTGAATTTGTGAAAAAAGAATGTGGTAGGGTTTACGTTGACAAGAAAATGATGTTTTTAGCAGTTTAATGTATGGGAAGCCAAAATTCATATTTGGAAATAGGCTAAGGTTTTTTTCATTGAAAAAGTTGTGATTGGGAAATTTTAAGCGCTTGACTTGTTAACAACTAGAAAGTTTTTTCTTATCATTAGAAGTTGGTCATTTTGTTTCGTTTTTTTAGAACATGCTCTCACAAAGATGTCTTGGATGACTTTATTTTGTATTCTTTTGTTCAGTCTAGTCTATGGCGCAATTACAGCTGACGACGAAACGAGTACAGTGGAAGCATCAACTTCCTTTAACGAAAAGCCTCCAAAAGACGATGATCGGTTGTAAGTAAATCAATGTTTTTCAATCAACTTCAGATATAGATAACAAGGGTTTGAGTGTTTTTTGTCATAAATGAATACTCTTTTTAGTTGTTCAACTGTCAACTGTTCTGAGTATGCGTCATGTCTGAGCTGTACGTTCCCAGAATGTAATTATGGAGAAACAGTTGTGGCAAACTGTTTAGCAAAACCAACGTGTAAAGAACGATTTTTTGGTCCAAAGTTGGCTCATTGCCGTTATTGTTGGCAGTTAGAACCTGAGGATTACACATGTAACCCGGTAATGTTAATTTTCACAGTTCTCACTATTTAACTTCTGTTTACTTTCTTCTAATTTGAAGGTTTTCTGAAATACTCATTTTTAGATTTGGAATGAGAGCAGCACAGGTATTTCACGAGGCTTGCTGAAGTTCTGGACTATAAGATTGTAAATTTTGTTTGCTTTAGGTAAAGAATTGCTCGATCACATCGGCAAGGCTTTTTCGTACTGTTTGTCAAGTTCATCAGTCTGTATTTTGCAAAGGGCGTCGTATCTTTTTTAAAAGAATACGGTAAGATTTTTTTACTTCAAGCAGTTTTTGATAAAAGAAAATTTGCTGTGAAAATTATCAGTTTTTAAAGCCCATCTCAAACATAATGATATTTTTTTTGTTTTTAAAAGCTTTAGGTTTTCATTTCATAAGTAAGTTGCCTTTTTATTTGCCTTTCGTTCGACAAATTGCATGTTCTTTTTATAGCTGTAATTGGTCTTCGGGTTACGTGTGGTGGAAAGCAATGTTGTACTCAATAATTCTTGGTGGCTTCGGTGCTGATAGATTTTATTTGGGCTTGTGGAAGAGCGCTTTTGGAAAACTTTTCAGTTTTGGAGGTTTAGGAATATGGACGGTGATTGATGTTATACTTGTTGGAGTTGGCTATGTTGGTCCTGCGGACGGTTCTGTGTATATATGACCGTATAGTTTCGAGAGTGGCAAAGGGTAAATTTTGGAAGTATTGGCGTAGAAATAGCTAAGTTTCAGCTGTCAGTTTTAGAATTGCTTACGATAGAAAAATCTTGATTTGTTTTCTAACTGTTAATACTTCTTTGAAACCTGCTGCGTACCTTGATTTTTTAAATTCTCTTGGGCGGTAAATTAAATCAGTCGACGCTTTGTTACCAATCGTATTGAGTAACTAGTTTTGTCAGTACTAATTTGTACTTTCCTCAACACGTCATTTTACGGAGGCCACAACTGTGTGGTTTTTTCCAGTTATGTCAACGTAATTTTGCTTTGTCTTTTAAGTGTTTAAGCCAAAATTTTATCTCGACTTTGTGCCAACGGGGATGTTTTGGAAGGAAAAGCATTTTTTATTTTCTCACAAAAGCTAGATTCGATAGTCTTTCAAAATCACCAGCTGAAACTATACAACTTTGTGATTATTTTTATGTGAACGATGCATCAGTGATTTTTGAGAATTAGAGCACTACACAAATCTTACGTGAGTATTTGAAAAAATTTGACATCTATGCGTTAAGGAGGCAAGTTTTCAAATTTTCCAAACATTTTTAATTAAGCAGTGCTCTGGGGGCGTTTTCAATACAATAAACTATGTTACAGGTGGTTAGAGTGGATTTTTTAAAGATATTGGAGGGTGATATGATTATAAAGTATTCAGTGATGTGCAGCTGTCCCAAAAATTTTGGCGAAATGCTTCTAACTGTTCTTCATTGTAGGGATGAATTTCCTACAATATATTTTTTGAGTTTTTTTGTTTCGAGTCATTCGCTAATGCTTCAGTTTTTGAACTGTAAATTGGGTTACAAAACAATAGAATGAAATTTTTCTCTTGTTTTTAGTTGGCACAAACTTTGTTTTGCAAGACTGGAAATTTTTTGTTTTTATTTTCAAGACTTTGATTATTGTTTCACATTTTTCTTATAAATGGCGATAAGCGAATTAATTTTCATAAATGTTCACTCATTCAGTAAACTAAGCTTTTAAATTGTCTGCAGTCTTCTTTTCCATGTAAATCGGAATGACGAATTTGAACAATTCCAAATGTTTTTTTAAGGAGGCATTGGAATTTCTAAGCCGGCACAACCTCGCGGCCATTTCAAGTGTTAACAGTCACTGCTGTTTTAATCGCATTGCTGTTCGAACCATTCTCGATGTGTATGATCTCAGAAAGATAAAATTTTATTGTATTTCTCGTTTTCGGTATATATGCGGGTTTTTCAATATACGGTTGTGGAAAAACTGTTTTGGTGTTTTTCAGTTCTGTCTTGTATGAATGTTGTTCATTTAAAGTATTTTTATTGCTTTGTAACTTCTGTTTTAGTTGGCTTTCGGTGACTATGTGAGTTGAAAAAAATATAAATACCAATAGTAAACAATTACATGGACGCTATTTCTGGACACGAATTCGTTTATTGTGTACATGGCATCATTACGCTGTTGAAAGTCTGCTTTTTACTCTGTTTTTTGCCATATTTGTCAATATCTCAGAGTATGACATATGGTTAAGTCAATGTTGTTACTTTTTGTCAAGTAAGTTTTTTTGTTAGATGGAATGGATTATTTTGATGAGCAAAGGTAAATTTAAAAGTTATGGGATCGGGTAATTTGGATATTGTTATCATACTGCTGCTAAAACAGTTAGGTGAAGGATTCGTTTTTCTTCAATAAGAAAGGAGGTCCCTTGGGTTTAATGCCTTTTGCGCCAACTGATGCAGTGGTTTTGCGGCAATACTGGTGGGCTGTATAGTCCTACGGATTTCTAAATTTGTTTTAAACGGTGCGGCATTCACAACCGGTAAAAATTAGTCACAAGTGTACCGTGTGAAACACAAAAAATTTTGGGGGCGATCGTTGTTGGATTATTTGTCAGTTTGATACTGTTGTTCGTTTTGAAATTTTCCATTTTTTTCGATAATAGATAACGACCAGAAATTTTGAAGAAAACAAAATAAAAGAGTTGTATCAACACGAAGTTTTGTTGACAAAGAAACATCTTTTTTACACCGCTCTAACTCGCCATGACTATGCCGCGAATTCATGGCGAAATTTTGGAGATTACCAGGTTGATCAGTTGAGAATTAACTTCTAAAAACTACTAGATATGAACGTATCAAGAAAAAAATTATCTTTTCTGAAGGGGAGGGGAGAAGTTTGCTGAAAGGCTATAGAAATATGACAGTTAATTGCATTTTTATCCTTGTTTTCGGTAATTTATTTGTTTTTGTCGTAGAACCTGTTTACTATTCTCTAGTTTTTCCATCAAGCGTTAAGCGATTAAGTGTAAAGCAGGAAAAAATTACTGCTATAATTAATTTTTAATTGTTTGATGGTTTAACGCAACAAATAAAGCTTTAATTGGTGTAATGAACAATTCGATTCGTAGGCTGTATTACTCATGCTTAGTTTTTGGTGTTTGGTTACCGTTTCTTTGCTCGATATTAGTTGGTGTATATGGCTTAAACTACTACGAAAGTAAAAAATGAATGTGATTTTTTCATGTTTAAAAAGCTGTGCAAATTATTATGATTATTCTTCGCAGAGAGCGAAAGTAAAAAGAATAAAGTTTCAAGAAAAATAAACACGAATTTTGTTTTAAAGTGGTCAGTGTAGCTTAAGGGAAGAGGAAAGAAAGTAGTAAGTTTGAAGGAAGGACGAAGGACAAAGGACATAAATACCATCGTTTAATCAATATCAATTGTTTTGGTGATAGCTGTTGTTCATTTAAGGCTAAAATTATCATTTTCTGAATCTATTTCTTGAGCATTTAATTATGCTATTTGATTGGCTAATATTCTATTTTAGTGTTATCTGCTCGCCACTGGTGAAGTATCGATTATTGCAAGACAGCGATTTAAAAAAGTAGTCGAAAAAGCTGGTTGTTTGAAAAAAAAGAAAAACAAACCGATCAAACAAAATGATATGTTTTGTAAATCTATGTATGCTGATGGTATCATTGATATCAGTGCTCTAAAATGACCGGGGCAGAGCAAATGCGCAAACATTCGACATATAAAGTTGACGATCACTGTTCAGTTTTACAAAGATTTCACAATAAAGTCGCCGGACTGTCCTTAATGCAAAAAAAAAAGAATCAGAGAATAGGCAGTAAACAGCTTCAATCAAAATAATCTTTTTTTAAGGAATTTTTGATTTTGAAGTTCAAATAATTCTTTTTGTTTTATATCACAAGATATTGAGAAGAAGCTTTTGCATGCTTTGAAAGACACTCAAATTTACAATTTTCTGATACTGCAGCAATGAAATGATGTTTTATGTGGATACATAGAATAAATGAAAGAAAAAAACTTTCTCACAATATTAACTAGATTAAACCGTTGGTTATGAGTTAAGCAAAAAAAAGAGACACGAGTATAGTTTAGAATCATTTATATGTCAGCTGTTAGGTACTCTGCAAATCTTAAGCAAACATATGTGTCTAATCTTCTATAAAAACAGTTTATGAAGTAGCTTTTAAAAGTTATTGGTATCTGGTAAAAGTAACCATTTTTTCCCCATTTTAGCCTCTAAAGAAAAACCACT